AAACGTTCCTGATAATTGAACGAATAAACGTTAGATTGGACAATCACGAAACCAGGATTTATATAATCGAAATGATATACAACGCTCGAGTATCATTTCTTTTTTCAATAAAAAAATGTAACGCATAATCAATAAGTTCTAGTTAAAAATGAATACACTGAAAAATTTGAATCACGCTTTCATCGTACAATCTTTATTCTCCAAGTATAATGTATTTTACATACATAATCTATCGAAACATTGTAATCTTTTGCTGTATATCGTACAGTTGGCAAATAAAGATTGACACAGTAGCGTCAAAAGTTTCTTTTATTTCTGTCAACAGTTTACTAGAGTCGTAACCAATATCTAAAACTCGTTATCAAAGTTAAAATCTTTATTAAAGGTTACGATCCATCCTTGAATGTTCGCTAGCAGTTGAAAGAGAGTAACAAGGAAATAATAAGTACGGTACCATGGTATTTATATGCTTAGAGTTCTATGAGTTGTCTATTCTGCCAATTATTTCAACATTTTCCGCGAAAAGCAGGCTGTTAAGCACGATAAACACGCATACATATATTCCCAGTTTTATATTTCGATCAAGCCTCGAAACAAAATTGAACATCGAAACGCGAATGACAAACGATATATATCATAACCAGTTATACTTCTGTTCACGGGATAATCATATGCTTTAGGACGCTATAACACTTGTTCCTTAATTATAGATAATAATAATATGTTGCACGATAATTCAGTGGGGTACTTAAATCTAAAGTACTTGAACGACGTGATTTTTCGACTAGTCGAATAAATTAGTAATAAAAATAATTGTAATAGCTTTGAATTGTGAAAACTTGTAAAACGGAGATGTGATTGCATGTAAATATTATCATTACTTTCAAACTGCTATTGTATAATAATATTCTTGTCTTTTATTTCTAAATCGGCTGCTTTAAATAAATACAATGTTGAACATAGAATACAACAAGCACATGAATATTTGTATAATATAAATATAAAAAAAGCTACTCTCTATATTAGATGGTAAAAGATAAAT